GGGAGGTGGAGGAGGAGGAGGGGGAGGAGGAGGAGGAGGAGGAGGAGGAGGGGGGGACCCTCTGGGATTTGGGGCGGGCCCTGGCCCCAGCCACGAAAGGCGGGCCTCGGAGGCAAGGAGCGAAAACTCGCGTCACGCTCGGCAAGGGGGGAACCCTCTGGGATTTGGGACGGGCCCTGGCCCCAGCCGCGAAAGGCGGGCCTCGGAGGCAGGGAGCGAACACTCGCGCGTCACGCTCGTCCGCCCATGCCCCCCCCCCCTCCCGGAAGGATCGACGTTGACGGCGGGCCGAAGGAGCTGCGCCTCGACCGCGGTCTTCCCCGCGTGTGCCAAGTCTGAGCTTGGAGAAGAGAGGGGGAGCATCCCCGAACTATTTCCCCCTATCGTACCCGGACACCCCTGGTCCTCACCCCCCCCCTTCCTGGGCGCCCCCGAGGAGAGGCTCGGCTCCTCCTCGCCCGCGCCGCCGGGGACCGCGGCCGGGATCTGGACCTCCGGAGAGTACGAAGGGGCCCCGGGACACACAAACAAACAGACACAAATCACAGGATTCCCCATGTTTTCCCAAGTTTTCGGGGTCTTGGTCTCCCCCCCCACTTCCCATATCTTCCCATCTTCTCTGGGGCGTCGACGATTCATTGTGTCTGTGTGTTTTTCCCCCTCCCGAAAAATACGCTCGGGGGTCCGCGTGGATTTTCTCGGGTCGGCGCTCGGCCAACCCCCCCCCCGCAGCGCGCGGAGCGCGCCGGGCGCGGCGCCATGGGGCGCCGCCGCGGGGGGGGGAGCGGGCCCGCGCCGATCGGGTCGGGCGAAAGGGGGGGATAGCAAAGGGGGGGGTTGAGAATCAGCTCACGTAGCTGATTTTCCCGGCGCCTCCCGGCGCCGGAGGCGGCTATGTATCGAGGAATGGGCCCCTCGGTGAGGCCGAAACCAGCTGCATGCAGCAAATTTCGTAACCCCCCCTTTCCCAATCCCCCCCTTTCGCCCGACCCGAGCCGAACCAAGAAGCCCACGCAGACCTCCGAAAGATTGTGGGACGCACAGAGATATACTGATACTGTATGTCTTCCCTGGAGGCGCGCGTCCAAGTCGAACGCATCGCATACCCATCTTGTAGTGTATTCTTTCCCGAGCGGTGCGGCCAGAAAGCGCCCGCCACGACGCACATACTATAAGATTTCTCGGTGCGCGCGCCGCCCCTGGGGGGGGCGACGCACATATAGTATAAGCACGTTGGGGTGACGCCGAGATTATGCTCGTGCAGCGTCTTGCCCATCGAGACCTCGTGCTCGAAGCTGTCGTCGAAGGCCGGCGGCACGCACCGGGAGGCGGCGCGAGAGGGGGCGGCCTTCTCAGCCCTCCCGGCCTCTGAGAAGCCCTCGCGCCTTCTTGGAAGCCCTCCCCGCTTCTGAGAAGGCCGCCCACCTGTCGCTCCTAGGGGGCCACATGCGAACCCTACCCCTAACCCCCACGATTTCTGAGGGGGAGGGGGAGTGAACCCACCCTCCCCCGCAGAAATCGTGGGGGGTAGGGGTAGGGTTCGCATGTGGCCCCCTAGCTCCCATTATCAGCTACACGCAGGGAGTAGCCTTAGGCAAGAGAGTGACCTTTGGTGCGCGGCTTCGCAGGTGCGCGGGGAGGGCCAAGACGAAGCGGGCAAGCCGCTGCTGACGCATCGCGTCCGGCGATCGGGGAGCCCCGGTGGGCCGGCACCGACGGTGGCTCTCGCGAACTGTCTCTCTTACGTGTAACCGACCATTGTATGCGGGGGGGGGGGGGGCAAAGGGAGCCACCAAAACCGCGACTCCCCGAACCTCTCCTGGGGTGCGCCCTGACCAGAAGCTCGAGGCGAATCCAGCCATGGCGACGAGGGCCTCCCAGGAGACACCAAGATTGTATTGGAGTGTGCGGTGGCGTGGGCAAACGCGCGGCAGGGGGTGCTCATCATGTGTCCGCAGCCCCCGCCACAGATCTGACTCTGTGGCGGCGCCGCCATGCACGCATGGAAAAAAATACACATACTCGCCTTGAGCCCCTCTCGCCCCACTCCCTGGGTGGCAGTACTGGTTCTTTCTCCTCCTCGCACGGGAAAGCCAAAAGGTACCAATGCCGCTACTCCCCGGCCCTCCCGGGGTGCGTTCTGACTAGGCCTTCGAGGCGAATCCAGCGGTGGCGACGAGGGCCTCCCATGGAGGTACCTTTTCCTTCTCTGATCTCACTGTGTGCGCCGCCAGGAAGATCAGGCACCGGCCCAGCTCCCAGGCGCGCGGCTCGCCAGCGACGGTCAGCCCCGGCGCCGCCGCCGCGCCGCCGGGCAGCAGCAGGGGCAGGTGGAGCCGCAGCCGGTGGTTGGTGGGCCCGCAGTGGGGCAGGACGCGCGCGCCTGGCAGCATCAGCGACAGCGCGGCGCGGCCCGGGGGCTCGCGCATGGCGCAGGGGAGCCCTGGGCTGGGAGTTGGCGGCGAGCGAGGGGGAAGTGAGAAGGAGAAGGCCTCCTCAAAGGCGGCGGGACTTCCCAGAAGCCCTCGCGCCCTCTGAGAGTTTCTTCTTCTGCCGTCGGAGAAGGCCTCAAACACTTCACAGAAGGCCGGGGCACTGCCGAGCCTTCTAAGAAGGCCCGCCCCTTCTCACTTCCCTTGTGGATGCCATGACAATGCAAACTCGAACAATCCTATCATTGAATTAAAGATGTGTTCAAACTGTGTGAAAATGTTCTACGCATGTTTCAAGCAGGTTCTTTTGATGTTTGAAGCATGTTTGAAACGTCTTTTAGACATATGACAACTATTTGGCAGCATGCTTCCTCTCCATTACTCGACTTCCACAACATTTCCCCCCTCGCTCGCCGCCGAGGGAGGGCGCCAGCCATGGTCGGGAACTGCTGCGCGGCGTGTCGCGGTGGCGGCCCCGTCGACGCGCCGAGCAACGCAGAGGCGGGCCGCGTTTCGCTCCGCTCCGCGGAGCGGGAGGCCGGGAGGAGCTCGAGACGTTGACGCTTGGGGACCGGTGCGTGGATAGCGTGTCGGACAACAGTGGACAGGACACGCGAGAGGACACAAGACCCTTCCGAGGGCCACATCGTCACTGGAGTGTAAAAAGGCACGCGTCGCGAGGCACAGGACACAAGGGTACCATTGAGCTGGCAGGGTCGACCTACTAATCCGGGCCGACTGTAGCGTGTCGCGGCGAAGCGTGGTGGGCCAGAGTCGGCGGCGCGAGACGCTGAGCCAAAGTTCATGACCGCACACTCAGAGGAGTGCCGGCGGAGGCAACGCCAATTGGTCTTCGGGGGGGAGGGCCCTCGTCGCCACAACAAGACGCAGCTCGGAGGACTGGCGCGCTTGGAGCCCGGGAGGGATCGATTCGGAGCTGCCGCTGTCTCAACTCGCCCTGTTCCGATCCTGCGAAGAATTTCCACAGCCGAGCCGAACCGCCCGAACCGAACCGGGACAAACCGAACCGGCGTGAACCAGCAATAATTTCAACACGAACCGAACCCAACCGAACTGGTCGTCTTCGATGCTCCAACCGAACCCAAACGGCCTTGATTTTGATGCGGAAGCGGAACGAACCGGAACGACCGAACCAGAACGAACCAGAAATGGAACCAGACCCAACCGCAACGAACGAACCTCCACGTCAACTCGACGAGTCGTCGTCGAGGCCTCCGGGAATCGCTATAGCGCCAAGAGACCCCCGTGACCCCTGTGACCCCTCCCCGCAGGACCCCCGTGACCCCTGTGACGCCTCCCCCCCGTGACCCCCCGCGACCCCTGTGACCCCTCCCGCGCGGGACCCCCCCCGTGACCCCCCCGTGACTCCCGTGACCCCTCCCCCGCAGGACCCCCGTACCCCCTGTGACCCATCCGCGCCGTGACCCCCGTGACCCCCGTGACCCCTCCTCCGCGGGGCCCCCGGGACCCCTGTGATCCCTCCCCCGATGGCTCCCCCGATGGCTCCCCGTGCGCGCCGCCCCTCCCTGGCGGAACCCCCTGTGACCCCTCCCCGGCGGGGCTCCCCTGACCCCCGTGATCCCCCCCCCCGCGGGATCCCTCGACGACCCCCGTGACTCCCCCCCCTTGCCTCGACGGGGACAGATCTCGCTGGGCGGTCCACTAGGCGATCTAGCAGCTAGCAGAAACAAGAACCAACTGAGACGGAACGGAACAGGAATCGGACCGAACCGGAAGCAAAGATGGGACGAGCCGAACCGGACAGGACCGGCAGGACTACGACACCGAGCCGAACCGAACCGAGCCGGAGGCACTTCGGAACCCGACTGGGACCGAACCGAAGTGGAGCTTTCCTCATCCGGCCAGGCCCACCCAGGGCTCAGCATCGGTCTGTGAGCCCCCTTGGCCTGGGCAGGAGCGCATATGCAGCGCTCCTGGGCCCAGGATGGGCCTGGCCAAGATCGGTGTGGTGTGCGGCTGGCGACCTCCGACCTGGGGGGATGGAGCGATGCCGAGACCGCCGCGGCAGAGTCGTGCCGTGCCGACGTCGGCGCTGGCTTCGGACACCGCGTGGATGGTTCCACCCTGCACGATCGGGACTTTCTGAAGGGGCCCCAGGACACACAAATAAATATACACAAATAAGAATATTCCCCATATTTTCCCATATTTTCTGGGTTTCTGTCTTCCCCCCTACTTCCCATATTTTCCCATATTTTCTGGGGAATCGAGGATTAATTGTGTCTGTGTGTTTTTTCCTCTCCTGACTTTCCGCCGCCGTGCCGCTGCGGCGCAGACATGGCGCGCCGCCACTCCCCGGGCCTCTCCCTGGGGCGCGCGCTGGCCAGGGCTCTCCGAGGCGGACCCGGCCGTGGCGGCGAGGGCCCCGCAGGAGGCCAAGTCGTGGCCGGCGGCATGTGCGCGGCCCAGGGGGGGTGGGGTGGCCGGGGACGCATCGAAACAAGAAAAGGCGCCATGAAAGCTGGGGAGACACCATGGCCCCCACCATGACATCCCCCCCCCCTGGTCATCCCCCCCCCCCTCTTGGCCGCCCCCCAGATATCCTGGCGCCTCAGCTTTTTCGAGCCGGGCGTCTTCGGCACATCTCGGGCCCAGGGACCCTCACGGATCGATCCGGCTTGAAAAATGGCGCAAAAGCATGGGTCTCGGGGCCTGGTCGTGGTTCCCAGATAGCTCCTTGGAGAGCTGCAGTCGGGCTTGAGAATCAGAAGCCAGCCTCGCAGGGTAGCCCCAGAGCTCGTGTTGGCTTCCGTCAAAACACCTCGCCTGCCTGAGTTCGCAGCGTGTCCCGTGAGGATTTCTCTAATCAAGCGTTTCCCAACACGTCTGTCTGGAAGCCCTCTTCGGGAGCTCCCTCGGAAGCTCTCTCCAGGAGCTTCCAGAGCTCCCTTGCGAGGTCTTTGCACGCCCTTCTGGCGCTCCGCTGTCCAGGTTTTTCGGGTCGGGCGAAAGGGGGGGATAGCAAAGGGGGGGGTTGAGAATCAGCTCACGTAGCTGATTTTCCCGGCGCATCCCGGCACCGGAGGCGCCCATGTATCGAGAAATGGGCCCCTCGGTGAGGCCGAAATCAGCTGCATGCAGCAGATTTCGTAACCCCCCCTTTCCCAATCCCCCCCTTTCGCCCGGCCCGAGTTTTGGACACCACAAGTCTTTCTTGCCGTGTTGCAATTCTTTGGCAACGTCGGGTCTCGGGGCCCCCCGAGGTCCGTCGACGGCGGCGGCCGCCCGGGGCGCCGCGGCGCAGTTGCCCTCCACGCGGGCCCCGAGCGCCCACAGCTCCCGGGGGCGACGAAGGGGGCGAATGGCCCAGGGGAGGGCAATACATGTCATCAACTCGCCATCGCTCGAACGTCCATTCCCCGTGCGTTTTTGGATTTCGTGCGCGTCTTTTCTCGCCTGAAATGATCAAAGATGCTCCTCGATGGTCCTCGCCGAGAAAAAATGCACACGTCCGAGCGATGCCAAGCCAAGGGCGCCGATGATCCACGCGTTCGGCGCGCCTCCCCCGGCGAAGACGTGCACGGTCGACCCGTGTCACAAGGACGCGCGATATAAGGGATGCAGGGGCCTTGGAAGGCTATGTCGACACTCTGCGAGCGGGGCGCGGCCAGCGAAAGCGAGGGCACCCTTGGGAAGATTGCCCCGTCCCTGCTATGCGGGTTGACTGCAATGCCCGCCCCTGGGCTATTCGCCCGTATCGTCGCCTCCGAAACTCCAACTTCTGCCAGGTCCCGGTGTGCAGCCCCTCCCGCTGCGGCTCCCAGCGAGGGCGCGCGGCCCGCTGCTCGCCTTCGCCCTCGGCCGCGGCGAGCAGCTGGACCACCTCTGAGAAGGAGAGGGAGCGGTGACTATCCCTGAGATCCTGGTGCTGCCTTTCTTTTTCCACAATGGGCGTGTTCGCTCCATGTCGGGCCCCGGATCCACTTCGGGCCCCGGGACCCTCGCAGATCGATCCGGCTCGAAAAACGACGCAGAACGATGGGGTCGGTGGCTCTGGTGATCTTTTGGCGATGTTGCAATTTTGTTTGCAACGTCGGATCTCAGGGATGGCAAAGACTGGTGCAGATCCTGGTCGTCGCCCGTCTTGCTCATCGTCAACTCCTGGCTCCTCCCTGCGAGAATCGGCGACGGCCGGCACGGACCATGGCCAGGACAGCGGCGTCGGCAAGGCCCCCCGCGCTAATATCTTGGTCATGGCCATTGTGCTCCCTCCGTCGAACCTCCTCCCGCAGCGCGCCCGCCGCCGCCTCCAGCGCCCGCACGGTGTCGGGGAATGCCTCCGGCGGCCAGAACGGCCGCGCCCGCAGGCCCTCGAACAGGAAGTCTGGCCGCTGCCACGCGGGCGCGGGCGCCGCCCCCCCGGGGAGCAGCGGGGCGGCGCGGGCCGCGCGCGCGCGCTCGCGGGCGGCGCCGAGGAGGGGCGCGTCGAGCGGCCACGTCTCCTGCTCGCCGTCCGCGTACGTCACCGTGGCAGGCGGCCCCATGCTCGCCGGCCGGCCGGCCGGCCGAGCAGCTCGGGGCGGGGCCCCCGCGGCGGCCTCGGCCACCCTCGGCGCAGCGGGCCGTGGCGAGGTCGCCCCTGGAGCCAACACTGCTACGGCAGGAAGGGCAACAAGTGCCGCTCAAAGCCCCAAGCTCGGGGATGGACAGACCTCCCTTTAGTAAAACGTGGTTTAGTGAAAACGACCTGAGGCCCAAACCTGGCGGGCGCAGGCCTGGGAAATAACGGCCACGGCGCCCTCTCGAGAACCGAAAACGGACAATTCACTAATCGACGTGTCACTGTTGGGGGTTCTGTCCACCCCCGACAAGCGGGGCCTGGGGATCGGCGTCCCCCAGACACGGCAGCCGCGGCCCGAGCCTCCCCGCACTCTTCCCCGAGATCCGGCGGCGCGGTGCTCTCGCGGCGTGGGCCCCCAGATCTCTCGAGCCCTTCCCCGGAGCTTGCCCGACGGCCAGCCACCAGAGTGCTGCGGCAAGGCAGCGAGGTGGCCAGCACTGCACACTGCGAGCGAGCACCGCCGCGGCACGGCGGGAGCCGCAGGCACCAGCAGTGGCCAGCCCGCAAACCTCCCTTTAGTAAACCTCCCCTTAGTGAAAACGAACCCGGGACCGAAACCGACGGACATGGACCCTTAGTGAAAACGGCCAATTCCTTAATCGACGTGTCAGGACAGGAGAGCTGTCCACCCCCGATAGTACCGCAGAACGGAGTCGAAACGAAAACGTCCCACGAAATCACCAAAAATCACCAACGAAGCGGGGGCGGCGGCAAGCTCAGGGGGGGAAGTGGGAAGGGGCGCGCCTTCCCGGAAGGCTCGGAAGGCCTCCGGCCGTCCGAAAAGCCCTCTGTGCCGTCCCCGAAGACGCAGAGAGCCTCCTCCGAGGGCGCGAGGGCCTCCGAGGAGTCCCGCCGCCTTCCGAGGCCTCCTCCTTCGGTGGCAGCTCATGGGAGCCTCCCATACCATCCTGCCGGCTTCTGCGCATCGATGCTGATCGACGCTGAACAAAGCTGATCGACGCTAACCGACGCGAAATCGGCGCTATCTTATCGATTCCCGCGAGCAAATCAGCGCCAATCGACGCGAAAGGCAGAAGTGCGAGGGCACGCGAAGCTCCCACGATTTGCTACCGAATCCTCCTCCTCCTCGCTTCTCGAGGAAAAAGAACCATGCACATACACCGATTCTGGCCAGGCCCATCCTGCGCCCAGGACCGGTGCGTACGCACTCCTGCCTTGGCCAGGAAGGCATGTGCACGGATCATGGGTCAAGGAAGGCATGTGCAAGGATCATGGGTCATGTATGTGCATAATTCTCCTCGCCCGAGCTTCCCCCCTTTCGTTCGCCACCGAGGGGGGCGGCCTGGAGAGCTCCTCGCAGCGCGCCCTCTGCTCCTGCCAGCTCCTCCCGGGGCGCGCACGCGCGCCGCGGGCCCGGGGCCCCTCGCTCGCCCTCTGCCCGCGTGGGCAGCAGGCAGTGCCCAGGTGCCCTCCCCCCCCTCCCCCTCCTCCTCCTCCCCCTCCTCCTCCTCCTCTCTCCTCCTCCTCCTCCTCCTCCTCCTCCCCTCCTCCTCCCCCTCCCCCCTCCCCCTCCTCCCCTCCTCCTCCTCTCCTCCTCCTCCTCCTCCTCCTCTCCTCTCCTCCTCCTCCTCCTCCTCCTCCTCCCTCCTCCTCCTCCTCCCCCCCTCCTCATCCTCCTCCTCCTGTTTCCTCCGGAAAACACGCTGCAGGCCCACACTGCCGCCCATGCTGCATGCATACACCGCGTACGTACGTACGTACGTACACACACACACCTTCCACAAACTCACACACATATACACACATACACACACGCACACATACACACATCTTACACAAGCACACACACATTCACCTTCCACACGCGTACGTACACACATACATCCCACACGTGCAACAGCAGGTGTTTGACCACAAGCAGCCTTCCACGAGAAACCCAACCCTGAGACCCAAGGACGTCCATTGGTGTCTGATGTGGGATCGTCACGCTGCCCACAGCAAGACCATCGAGACCCAAGAAGCATAAAGCACCCTGGAGGCGAGCAGGGTGGTTTCCAGTCTACTAGTCTATCGGTGCTCGTGCCGTTCACGGCACCGAACTGGATAACGCTGGCCGGCGTGCTCAATGCTAGCTGTTCGGTTAAGACGGCCCCGATGTCTACAGTCCGCGGTCCCAACGCTCCAGACCCCTTCCCCGGAGCCAAACTTATATTGTCCCAGGGCCCGCTATAAAAAAGGCACCCCCGGGCACGCCAGAAGAGCCATCCGAGGCTGAAATCCAAAGAAAAAAAACCTTGATGGATGTAAAAGATGGCATCGTCGGATTTCGGATGTCTTGGGAAACAACCCCCCGAAGGACCACCACTGCATCCTGAACCGTTCTCTGGCAGCCCTGGGGCCCGAGAGCCCGAAATCGGCAACAAGACCCGTGCCTCTCAGGACCCGTGTACTCCGTGGAGAAGAGGAGACTGAAGCAGCGACCAGGAGCGGGTCTTGCGCGAGAAGACGTAGCGACCTCACGCCGCAGCTAACGCGGGCCGCCAGCGCGGCACGCTGCATTGGATACGAAGGCGCCCACGCGCGACCTTACGCGGGCAGCTTGCGCGCCAATGTCGGCGCAGACGAACCCGTTTTCTTGCATGGTTCACGGGGAAGGCGCTGTGATGCTGTCAATCCGCGACCCCTGGCCATGTGAACTTTTCCCCGAACCCAGCTTCTGTCGCCCCCGATCCGTTTCTGGTGGCCCCGGGACCCGCTGGAAGGGCCCCCCCGGGAAAAATCAAGGAAACGCGCCCAGGATCAGAACGGACATCGTCGGATGTTTTGGGGAAAGACCCCCGGGACCAGTTCTTCATCGTGAAAGCGTGGTTGACAATCGCGGTGCCTGGGGAGGGCCCCGAGAAAACGGGGGCGACTAAAAACCTCGGACGCCCTTCCCATCAGGATCCCTTTGGTTCCAAGGTGAAGAGGAGGAAGAAGGAGGAGGAATAACTAGAATTGTGGATTTGGAAGCTGTGCGAGAGAACGCATGGTGGCAATTAAAATGTACATTGAGGAGATTGTGCTCTTCATACAGTAAGTAGATCTGCATCGACGCTCGGGCCAAACAGCGGCGACCCTTCCTATTTGAGTCGGGATTGTTCGGGCGATCGAAGAACTCTGGCGGAGAAGAGAGACCAAAAGAAAAAGGGCACCATAACTGTCCAACCACAAGCACATTCTAGACTCGGCAGGGAAACAGCGTCGCTGTCTGACCTGACGGGCGCGCGACGCATAGGGGGGGCGCGGGCCCATCCACTGCAGTGGCGAGCTCGTTCGTGCTCTTACAAGAAGCACTAGAGGAGCTCGCGCGCGATGATGATGATGATGATGATGATGATGATGATGATGATGATGATGATGATGATGATGATGATGATGATGATGATGATGATGATGATGCTGATGATGATGATGATGATGATGATGATGATGATGATGATGATGATGATGATGATGATGATGATGATGATGATGATGATGATGATGATGATGATGATGATGATGATGATGATGATGATGATGATGACGTGGGCTTCCTCGTGCCGCATTGTGCATGATGGTGGTGACCTCGGGCCTCAGACGTGGGGCACGAGCGCTTGTCCCAGGACATCGGCGAAGTGATGGCCCCATGGTCACGCGGGTGGAGAGGTGGAAGTGACGTGCCTTGACCTGGCAGGTGGGCGAGAAGGTGATGGAGATAGACCTTGAGGGATGCGCGCGCTTCTTGGCGCCATCGCCCGAGGGCCCGCCGCGACCGCGATCCGCGGGGGCCGCTCGGATCGCAAACTTCGCGCGCGATCTTCTCGCTGGGCGTGCCGAGACAGGCGCTGCCCGTGGGCGACGGCTACCGCGGCCCCTCGGAGGCGCCAGCCGCGCGAAAGGGCCGCGCTGGCGCGCGGGCACTTGACCTCCTCCTCAAACCTGCGGAACTTATTGTTCTTACTATTATTACTCCTCTTCTTCCTCTTCTTGGAAGGCCAGCGATGTTCCACTGGCATGTGAGATCCACAATATCCTCGAAGTGCCCTCGTGCTTCGGCTCCCTCTCGTTCTTGACCTTGCCCTTGCCCTTGCCGTCCATCCTGACAGCGTGCTCGAGGGGGCCGACGGGCGCCGCGGCTCTTGTCCTCGGCCAGGATGGGCGCGGAGTCGGCGGGCGAGACGCCGCCAGTCTCCAGCCTGAGGCGCGAGCCACGTTTGCGAGGCGGGGATTTATCCATAGCCACCGCGTGGGAATCGACGCCCCAGTGCCCCAGCGGGCGGCGGATATGGATTCATTTCGGCCCCTGGGGGTCCGAATATGCCCGTGCCCACCGCCTGCCGAAAACCCGAGGTTGATCCTCCAGGCGGTGGTCGTGCATAAATTCCCGCCTCGGGAAGTTAATCTTGTCGCCTTCAGCCTCACGAGCAAGTGACTGGGGCTGGGCCTGTGGAGAGAGGTAGCGACGAGGGTGCGCGTGCAGCACGCGGTCGCCCAAAAATGACAAAGAGCGCAACGCGCGCGGTGGCGCCACCGCTGGCCATGTGCGGCCATGCGGCAAGTTCCGGGAGGCCCCTCGCCGCGGATGGCCAACGGGCGCCGAGCGAGTCTCGGCCGCGAGCCGACGTCTGCAAGTGCAAAACAGCGACGGCACTCGATGCGGAGCATAGCGCATTGCGGCCTTGCGTCGTCGAGCCAGCCTAAATCCCTGTGGGCCTCGAACATGACCCTGAGAAACATATGGCGTTGAAGTGCCGCACTTTGTCTCGTCGAGCTGCGGCGCGCGACGCGTTCATACAGTGTGAAACAAAACGCGGGTGACACGCGTCACTCCGAAAACCACGTGAGAAAAAACAATTGTGTCACTCGTATTCTGGACGCCAATATATTGGCCATACAGTGTGAAACAATACGCGGGTGACACGTGTGACCCCGAAAACCGCGCGAGGAAAAAAATAATGTTACACTTGTCTCCTGGACGCCAACATGGGGCCATACAAAGTGAAACAACACGCGGGTGACACGTGCCACCCCGAAAACCGCGCGACAAAAACTAACGGTTCCACTCGTACGTTGGACGCCAACATGGGGCCATACAGTGCGGGTGACACGTGTCACCCCGAAAACCGCGTGAGAACAACCAAGCATTCCATTCGCATTCTGGACACCATCATGGGGCCACACAGTGTAAAAAACGCGCGGGTGACACGTGCCACCCCGAACAACGGCGTGAGAAAAACCAAATGGGTTATTCGTATTCTGGTCGCCACGCCCGGTCGCAGCAACGACGACGACGACGATGACGACGACGAACGCCGCGCTGCGGATGCACCATGGGGAGAGGGCGGGCGCTGCGCGGGCCCGCCGTAGCAACGACGCGACGACGACGACGACGACGACGACGACGACGACGACGACGAACATCGACGAACGCCGCGCTGCGGATGCACCATTGGGAGGGGCTGCTGCGTGGGCCCCGCCGTAGCAACGACGCGCGACGACGACGACGAGAACGACGAGAACGACGACGACGACGACTGACGACTGACGACTGACGGCTGACGACGACGACGAACGACGACGAACTGCCTGCCCAGCTGTCGGCACAGGGCACACAAATGGCAGGACCTGGGAGGTGGGATGACACTGGGGGGATGCGGGGTAGGCAGGGGGAAGTATGGGGATGCGGGAGGCGAAGGGATGGCGGGAGGCGGGAGGAAGCGGGAGGAGAAGGAGGAGGAGGGGGTGGAGGAGGAGGAGGTGGGAGGCGGGAGGAGGAGGAGGAGGAGGTGGGAGGCGGGAGGAGGAGGAGGAGGAGGAGGAGGAGGAGGAGGAGGAGGAAAAGGAGGAGGAGGAGGAGGAGGGAGAGGAGGAGGAGGAGGAGGAGGAGGAGGAGAAGGAGGAGGATAATGCGGAGAAGGAAAAGTAGGAGGTAGCACGAGGCAGGAGGAAGTGGTAGGACGTGGGAAGAGGTGGGAGGACGTTGGAAGACTCGGTGGGAAGACGCTGGAAGAGGCGGGGTGAGAATAATACATTCGAACGCAGTACGCGCAACGCGTGCGTGCACACGGCAACCGCCAGGGCGCCAAGGCCACAGGACTCAGATCCGCCGCGGTGCCTGCACGGCAGAGGCGTGCAAGAATGCCTGTGAGTTGTCTTGTGGTGTTTTTGTGAAGTTCCTTAGGGCCTCCCCCTTCCTCACGCTGGGCTGCATGCGCCGCGCCGTTTTCCCGACCCCCCCCCCGTCGGCGCCGAGACATGCCCTTGGCGCCGTCCGAAGAATCCAAGGCGGCGGCCAACATGGCCCAAGCAGGCCAAGAGGGCCGCCAAATGGCCCAATACCGATTCAAGACTGCCCAAGATGCAAGACGACCCAGGACGGCCTCGAAACGGCCCAAGCGGTTTCCAAGACGGCCCGAAACGGTTCCAAGAGAGCGTCCAGGAAAGAATCCTCTGGGATGCCAGCCGACTCCGTCGAGGCCCCTGGGATTCCTGGGGGGCCGCGGGCAACGCAAGGGGGCATGCCGCCAATTTGGGGTTACGACCGCAATTTGAAATATGTTTGTGTTTATTTCCCCGGGCGCCGGCGGCGGAGTTTGGAGGGATGGGGGGTCGGAGTTTACGTTGGACGATATTCCAAATCATATATATATATATATACATGCGATACGAATTCAAACGAAAACTGTCAATTTACGTGAGTGCCAACTACTAGGAGGAGGAAGGGAAGGGAAGGGAAGGTAAGCGAAGATAAGAGAAGAAAAGAGAAGATAATATAAGAGAAGAGAGGAAAAGAGAGGATAAGAGAAGAGAAGAGAGGAGAGGAGGAGAGACGAGGAGAGCAGAGAAGAGCGGAGAAGAGAAGAGAAGAGAGGAGAAGAGAAGAGAAGATAATATAATATAAGAGAATGTAGGGGAGGAGAAGAGAAGAGAAGAGAAGATAAGAGAAGAGAAGAGAAGAGAAGAGCAGAGAGGAGAGGAGAGGAGAAGAGAAGGGAAGAGAAGAGAGGATAATAGAAGAGAAGAGAAGAGAAGAGAGGAGAAGAGAAGAGAAGATAAGAGAGGAGAAGAGAGGAGAAGAGAGGAGAAGAGAAGGGATGAAAAGAGAGGAGAAGAGAAGAGCAGAGAAGAGAAGAGCAGAGAAGAGCAGAGAGGAGAAGGATGAGGGGGAAAAAGGACAAGAGGAACACTTGAAGGGCCTCGCCCCCTCGCGGCGGTGCCAGGGCCGGGGCCGACGAGGCCGATCCTCGCGGGAACCGCCAGGGGCTGCCTCTCGTCGGGCCTCTCCTGCGGCACGCGTGCCTGGGTCTGGGCGACCAGAGGGCGGCAAGAGGAGGGAGAGGGGGGCAGGAGGAGGGGGGGGGAAGGCAAGGCGGGGGAAAATGGAACAGAAGGGAGGAGGGAGGGGTTGAGGAGGGGAGGGGGGATGGACGGCAGGGGGGGGCAGGAAGAAGAGAAGGCGGAGGAGGAGAAGGGAACCTGGACGAGGAGGGGCAGGAGGAGGAGGAGGAGAACAATTACTTGCCAGAGGAACAAAATCACCGGCACATTTGGGATGCGAAGATGATGCGAATTACGTTGGTATCATTACTGCTCTGGACGGGTCGTATCGACATGGCTGTAGCAATCCGGTAAGCTGTGGTATATCAGATGTGCGAGCCTGGGAGGAAGAACGACGACACGTCGACAACACCAATCGCGATTTTTTTCTCCAATGCTGGGCCGGCCCGCGGTGCTGGCCGAGTACCTTGATCCTGATACACGGTTGCGGTACAATATTGTACAGCAGCAAAAAGGCGACGGCGGCGCAGAGACAGCAGGGGAAAACGTTAAACAATTGGAGGAGGAGGAGGAGGAGGAGGAGGAGGAGGCGATGAGGAGCAGCAGGAAGAGGAATGGGAAGGTCTGGACGTTTTGCGACGCAAAACGCGCTGAGGGGGTTATGGGCGGGGAATGGAGGGAGAAGGAAGAGGCAGGCAGCTCAGGAATCCATCCGATCTGCGCTGCAAGAAGCCTCCGCTCGCTGGCGCTCCCAAGCAGGCGCCATTATCACCGCCGCCCTGTCCTCCGACGGCCTGATCGCCCGGTCGCGCGGACGTGCATCCCCCCCGTCGCCCGGCCGCCCAGCCGCCCAATCGTCTGGTCGTCTGGTCGTCTGGTCGTCCAAGCGTCCTGTCTCCTGTCTTCAGGTCCACCGGTCGCTCAATCGTCCGCTCGTCCGATCGCCCCAATCGCCCAGCCGCCCGGATCCAGTCGTCCAGTCGTCCGGTCACCCGGTCATCTGGACGCTGCCAATCGACCGGCCGCCCGGACGTCGGGTCGTCCGGTCGCCCGGTCAGATCTGGTGGTCCGGTCGTCCGGTCGTCTGGTCGTCCAGTCGTCTGTGCTCGTCCAGCCGCCTGGCCGCCCGGTCGCCTGGTCGTCCTGTCGCCTGGTCGTCCTGTCGTCCGGTCGAGCAGTCGCCTGGCCCCCGTCGCCCAGTCGTCCGATCGCCAGACCGTCCAGCCCTGGTCCCCCGGACTGGTTGTCAGTCGTCTGGTCGTCCAGTCGCACTGCCCGCACGGCCCCCTGTGTCGCCAGGCCGCCTGGTCGTCCCGCCGCCAAGTCGCCCCGTCGTCCAGACGCCTGGTCGCCCGGCCGCCTGGCTTGTCGGGCCGCCCCGTCGTCTGGTCGTCCAGTCGTCTGGTCGTCTGGTCGCCCCGTCGCTCGGTCGTCCGATTGGTCGAAAGGCCGCCCGGCCGCCCCTGTCGGCCAGTCGTCCGTTCGACCAACCCAATCGTCCGTGCGGTCGTCCGGTCGCCCGCTGGTCGTCCACTCGTCCAGTGGCCGCCTAGCCCAGGCCAGTCGCGCAGTCCAGCCTGGTCGCCCGGCCCAGCCGGGTCGCCGGGTCGCCCAGTCGTCCAGTCGGTCGCGCCTTGTCGCCTGGTCGCCTGGTCGACCCGCCGCCTGGTCGTCCGGTCGCCTGGCCAGCTGGTTGCCCGATCTCGCCTGGCCGCCTGGCCGCCAGGTCGTCTGGGCGTCCAGCCGTCCGGTCATCGAGTCGTCTGGTCGTCCAGTAAGCCGCCTGGTCGTCCCGTCGTCCGGTCGCCTGGACGTCTGGACGTCCAAACGTCTGGTCGCCATGGCCCCCGGGCCCGGCGGTCGTCCAACATGGTTGCCTGGTGGTCCGGTCGTCTGGTCGCCTGTTCGCCTGGTCGCCTGGTCGCCCTGTCGCCCGGCTGGTCGTCTGGTCGTCTGGTCGCCTGGTCGTCTGGTCGTCACCTCGACCGGTCGCCCTGGCTGGCTGTGGCAAAATTGCACTAGATCCCTCGGAAGAATTGGGGTGCGAGCCCAGGGAGGCGCACTTCAGTTGAAGCTCGCAGTGGTCGAGGGGGCGGTCAACCAGAAGTCTTCTTCAGAGGAGAAACAGTTGAAGACTGCTCGCTCTTGTCTGCTCGCGCGTCAATCAGAATGAACATCCAAAACTCTCGATACCCGCCGTTTCGTCTTCGATCGTACTCCCCTTTCGGAATAGATCTTCCGTTTCTGCCACGTGCACTTAGCGTAGCCCCCTAAACAAGGAAAGGGATGAGGAAAGGGACAACGAGGAGAGAGAAGGATAGAACACTAGCTAGAGAGTCTAGCAGGATGGGGCTTGGGAGCAGGAAGACAAGCGGCAGAACCAAGACGGCAGGGTCGAGCGGGCGGGTCGCCGAAGCGTTAGTCCTGCGCGGATCGCGAGAACTCTCGAGCGACAGCGCGATTCCCACGTAACTCGTGGGGAAATCCAGAACGAGAGCGTGATTCCTGAGGGCTGGGTACGCGGCATCTCAGTAAATTGCGGAAGAATCCCACGCGAGAGCGCGATTGCTGGATAAATTGTGGAAGTTCCGCGTGAAAACGCGATTTGTGAATAGATGGTGAAGAATCATGGGGGCCGCTGTTGTTGCAAACCGGGGGCCAGCAACACAATCACAACCTCAAGATTTCCCCTTGTTAAAAAACAGGTGCGAGCCCCGGAAGGAGCACTTCAATGGAAAAATACCAGGTGCACCAGGGAGGGGGGATCAGCATTAGAAATGAAAGCTCAACGTTGACATGAACATCATCATCATCATCATCATCATCATCATCATCATCATCATCAGCAGCAGCATCATCATCGTCATCGTCATCATCATCAGCATCAGCATCAGCATCTTCATAATCACCTTAGTATTAATAACATTGTTCTTCTTAGCCTATTATTCATTTTCATCGTCATATCAGCATCATCATCATCATCATCATCATCATCATCATCGCCATCGCCATCATCATCATCATCATCACCATCATCATCATCATCATCATCATCATCATCATCATCATCATCATCATCATCATCATCATCATATTTATGATCAGCATCGTCGTCATCATCATCCTTATATGCATGATCAATAACAACATCAACATTATCATCACCATCATCATCAGCAGCAACATTACCATTATCAGCATCATCGTCATCACGACCATCATGAGAATCATCACCAGCATCATCATCACAATTATCAACATAATCATCAGCATTATCATCAATATCAGCATCATCATCACCATCATCAGCATCATCGTCATCATCACCATCATGATTATCCTCATCATCACTGTAACCATCGACATCAACATCAACATCATCACCACCATCATCAGCCTCATGGTCATCATCATCGTCATGATCATCATCATCATCATCATCATCATCATCATCATCATCATCATCATCGTCATCGTCATCGTCATCGTCATCATCATCATCCCTCCCTCCTCCTCCTCCTCCACCTCCTCCTTCTCCTTCTCCTCATCCTTAGACGACGACGACGACGACGACGACGACGACGACGACGACGACGACGACGACGACGGCCAAGACGGCGACGGCAACGGCAACGGTGACGACGACGGCAACGGTGGCGACAACGCTGACGGCGGCCACGACGGCGGCGGCGGCAGCGACCGGCGGCGGCGACGACCGAAGGTCGCGGCACCGCCCGAGCAAGCGCCAGGCAGCCGGCCAGCTGCTCCTCCGGAGTGCGGCGCAGCGCCTCCGCTTCCTCCTCGCCGCGGTCGCGCGAAGACGACGGCGACGGCGACGACGACGGCGACGGCGACGGCGACGGCGACGGCGACGGCGACGGCGACGATGACGACGGCGGCGGCGGCGACCTAGACGACGACGACAACGACGACGAGGACGACGACGACGACGACGACGACGGCGACGACGACAACGGCGACAACGGCGACCCAGACGACGACCCAGACGACGACCCAGACGACGACGATGACGACGACGACGACAACAACAACGGCGGCGGCGGCGGCAGTGGCGACGACGACGACGACGACGACGACAACGACAACGACGACGACCCAGACGACGACGACGACACAGACGGCCCAGACGTCCCAAACGACCTAGAAAGCCCACACGACCCAGACGGCCCAGACTGCCCGGACGACCGAGACGGCGACGGCGGCGACGACGACGGTGAGGGCAATGGCGACGACCACGACGGTGGCGACGATGAGCCCCTCGCTGCCGCCGCGCGAGGGGGTGGTCTTCGTCGATGTGCCGACGTCGACGTTGGCGTGGACGTCCTGATTTCTTAAGTGGCGACTCCTGGGAGGTCGTCGTCGTGCGAACGATTAAAAATCCGAACAGGGCCGCATTATGTATTTGTTGTTCTCGCGTCTGACTGAAAATCTCTTCGGCTACTTTGGCCGGCCCGAGAGTAAAAAGCAGCTGGCCAGCAGAGGCGATGCTGCCCGCAAGTGGTCACAAATCGGCCCAGCAGCCCGACACGCCCGTGTGCGAGTGGCATACCGAATGACCCGCTAGCTCGCGGAGCAGGGGTAGGGGGAGGGGGAGGGGGAGGAGGAGGAGGAGGAGGAGGAGGAGGAGGAGGAGGAGGAGGAGGAGGAGGAGGGGGAGGAGGTGCCATACCGACGCGTGCGAGTGGCATGTGGAGTGACCCGCTGGCTCGCGGAGCTGCTGGCCAGTGCCCAGCGGCGCGCGCCGGCGGTGGCCGAGGCCCGCTGGGCCGGGCGAGGGCCGGCGCGCCTGCCTGCTCTCCCCCTTGGCTGAACCTACACGGTGTTTTTCGTTTTCGTTTTGTTTTCGTCTTCCCTCGTTTTGCCTTCAATCCGCCTCTGACGCAGAACGACATCGAAACGAAAGAGGCCCACGAAATCGCCAAAGCACCGTTTGGGTCCACCCCTGTCTCACCCCTTTCCCCCCTCCGCTACTTACCATTCCATGGGGCTCCTCTTGCGCTGATTAAGAGATGTTGTTCGGCACAGGCTTTGCTTTCTGCAGGCGGAGGTCACCTGCAAGTCGGCGCAGCACCCTGACATGCCCGTGCGCGAGTGGCATGCCGAGTGGCCCGCTGATCACTCCTCGTCGCTGAACAATCAAAAATAATGGCAAGGAGAAGGAGCAGCCCAGCAGCCTGACACGCCCGTGCACGAGTGGCAGACCGAATGACCCGCAAAGACCCCGTGGTGGCGGACAGGAGCTGGGAGCGACAAGGCGCGGACCACTGCGGCACCGTGCTGCCTGGGCGCCCGCGTCCCTTGACCAGGGCAGCGAGGGGGCGGCCCACGAGGACAGTGACCGCGCCGGCGCCCTGGTCCAGAGGCATGTCAGGATCGCCACTGACGAGGGCAGGGAGCGTCGACACCACCCGCCGCGTGCGCCAACGACCCACCGATCTTTGCACCGCGGCCGCCACCATCGCGGGGGACATGGAGAGGAAGTCGACGGGCTCGCCGACTTCCTCTCCATGAGATACGCAAGAGGCTCCGCGAGATACGCAAGAGGCCCCCGGGACCGCCAAGAGGCCCCAAAGACGGCCCAAGAGGCCCCCAAGCTCGCCATTGTCCTCCTCCTCTTCTTTTTCTTCCTCCTCCCTCCTCCCCCTCCCTCTCCTCCTTCTCCTCCTCCTCCTTCTCCTTCTCCTCCTTCTCGTCCTCCACGTCCTCGCCCTCCTCCATCTCCTCCTCCTCATCCTCCTCCTCCTCCTCCTCCTCCTCCTCCTCCTCCCCCTCCTCCTCCTGCTCCTCCTCCTGCTCCTCCTCCTGCTCCTCCTCTTCCTCCTCCTACCCCGACGACGACGACTCCTCCTACATCCTCCCCCCCTTGGGGTATATGGCGGCTTACCCCGCCCTTTGTTCTGCGTGCTCCCCTGCTTCCCTCATCACCTCCGCTCCCCTGGGACTCATTTCTGGACTGACTGGTGGGGATTCGCGAAGCGTTTAGAATTCCCTCATTGGTCCCTGCGAGAATTTGTTTTCACTGCGGGAAGTGCACCGTTGGAAGTCAACCGTCTGATAATCTTCAATCGTGCCAAAACCATTCATTACTGGGATTTCAACGCCGCGGATCAGCGTGACTGTTGCGTCCTGGCAGTTCAACGTGACTGTTGCGTCATGACAGTCCAAAACCGCGTCAGGACACCAGACGAACCATACGAACCAATTCGAATCAAACTGTTGCGGCTTCAACCATACGAACCCTTGAAACGGTTGCAAACTTTAATGTGAGCGGCGCTAAGGCGAGAGCGACATTTTGAAGAGAGACCGCCCTCCATCTGCTAACCAACTGCAGACTGCATGACGAATGTGCGCAGCGCTAAAGCGATAGCCACATTCTAAAAACGAGCCACCCTCCACCTGTGCAACCGTTGCAAATTTGAAGCCTCAAGACCATGAATGGTGAGGAAATCTCATGCGAATCGCCTGGCCCGTTATACCGACACGTCCGAGGGTGCGACAAGGAGGAGTTACTTGTAAGGGAACGGGATGGAAGACTTGATGCGAAATGGCCCTTGGGCGCCTTGTCTCCGTCAGTGGGCCCAGCTTCCTGGGGCCATCTCGGTCCAGGCCGCATGGGCTAGGCCAAAGAAACAAGAGAGCCTAGGCGCCGTAGCCCAGGCGGCGAGGGCGGAAAGGAAGCAGGATGTTGGGGAGAAGACACCCTCGTAGGGCAGACGGCCGCGCCGAGCCCTGCCGAAGGGGAGCGGCATAGAGGCCCAAGACGTGCGGCGACGTGTCCTGTTCTCGCGCCGCGGCCCCAAGGGGAGGTCCCGACTTCTTTCCCCCGGGGGCAGTGTTTCGTCCTGGGTGCCCTTGTGGCGGCCCCCCTGGGGGCTCGATCACGGGCCCCCAGGGGGGCCGAGATCGGGGACAGGCGCCAGGATTGTCGAGGCCACACCGTCGTCGGGGGTCTCTGGGGTGGTCGCGGGAGCCCCATCAGATGCAAAAGCGAGCGGGAAGGGACAGCCGCCGTCATCGCTCTCTTTCTCTCTCTCTCTCTGTCTGTCTCGTTGTTTTGTGTGTGAGTGTGTTGTTGTTCCTCTCTCTCTCTCTCTATATATATATAGATAGCTCTCTCTCTCGTCTTTATATTGTTCCTATATCTATATGTATGTATGTGTATATATATATATATATATATGTGCCTCCTCCTCATCCTTCTCCTCCTCATCCTCCTCCCGCGAGCGTGCTCTGACCAAGATTTCGAAGATAATCTAACCACGGCGACGATCGGGGGCGACGAGGGTGGCGAATAGCCTGGAGGAGGGCAATGCGTGTATTCAAGGGCGCCGATGATCGATCCGTGCCCTCGGCGCGCCTCCCCGGGCGCATACGTGTCGTGCCCGCCCCTGGGCCATTCTCCCGCATCGCCGCCTCCGAGACGAGGGCTGTCCTGGACGAGCAGCCGAATCGGCACCCCTTCCTCCCCGAGCGGGGGGTGGCGTCCTCGACGGCCAGGGCCGCGGCCTCCTCGAACTCCCGCCGCAGCATGAGCCGCCTTCGGCGGCGAGGGCGCCCCCCGTGGTCCTTCCGCCTGCCCCGCTCCGCTCCGCGCGCGCCGTGCCGGCGGAACGCGAGGGCACTCCACACCAGCGGGTGCGCCGGGTATGGGCACGAACAGTGGGAAGCCAGCACCGCCGCCGCTCCTCCTCCCTCCTCCCTCGTCCTCCCTGCTCCTCCTCCTCCCCATCCTCCTCCTCCTCCTCCTCCTCCTCTTCCTCCTCCTGTTCTTGTTCTTTTTCTTATTCCTATTATTACTACGATTCTTAAAATTATTATTATTATTATTATTATTATGATTATTAGTATTATTAATATTATTGTTATTATTATTACTAGTACTATTAGCATTAGTATTATTACTCTCATTATGATTATGCGTATTATTATTATCATTCGTATTCTTACTATTATACATAGTATTATTTGCATTCGTATTATTATTAGTATGAGTGTTATTATTTTAGTATGATAATGATTATTAGTATTATTAGTAGTATTAGTAGTATTATCATTATTGTTTTTAGTATTAGCATTATGAGTATTAGTATTATTAGTATTGTTATTATTATTACATTTACTACTATTATTATGTGTCGTATTCTTATTTCTTCTTTATCCTTTGTTATTGTTATTTCTCATCCTCCTCCCCTTCCTCCTCCTCTCCTCCTCCTCCTCCTCCTCCTCCTCCCCCTCCTCCTCCTCCTCCTCCTCCTCCCTCCCTCCCTCCCTCCCTGCCTCCCTTCCTCCTCCCTCCCTCCTCCCCTCTCCTCCTCCTCCTCCCTCCCTCCCTCCTCTCCCTCCTCCTCCCTCCCTCCTCCTCCCTCCTCCTCCTCCCTCCCTCCCTCCTCCCTCCTCCCCCTCCCTCCGTCCTCTTTCCTCTGTCCTCCCTCCTCCTCCTCCGCTTCCTCCTCCTTCTCCTCCTCATCATCATCAGCATCATCATCATCATCATCATCATCATCATCATCATCATCATCATCATCATCATCATCATCATCATCATCATCATCATCATCATCAGCATCAGCATCAGCATCAGCATCATCATCATCATCATCATCATCATCATCATCATCATCATCATCAGTATCATCACCATCAGCATCATCATCAGCAGCATCCTCATCATCATCATCATCAACAACAACAATTACAACAACAACTACAACACCAACAACACCACCAACTCTAACAAGAACAACAAAATTATCATCATCATCATCCTCATCATCACCATCATCATTAGCATCATTACCATCATCATCAAGACCACCATCATCAGCATCATCATGATCATGATCATGATCATGATCATCATCATCATCATCATCATCATCATCATCATCAACATCAACATCACCATGATCAGCATCATCCGCCTCCTCCTTTTTCCCGACGCCTCTGATCACACACCGTGGCAGGCCAAACACCTCAGAAACATTGATACGATATAAATACAAATACAACTGTACAACTCGTATTGGAAACTAATTCTTGATTAAGATGTCCGGGCACGCTTGGCAAAACATTGTTTGGAAAATGAGCCGAACAAGTACTGGAAGGCGTCGTCGAGCGCCACCGCTTCAGCAACGAAAGATGAAACAGGGTGCTGAAAATACGCTCGTCGGAAAGCGACTGGGAAGGTGCTCCTGTATCCGGCTCGCGTGACAAATTGCCTCTCACACCCAGCCAGACGCAGAGCAACTTTGCGTCCGAGTTCCGCCGTCGGAATGGCAAATACAATTCGCCTCGCACGGAGAAAAATATTGCATTGCCCGCGGCGCCTGTTTGAACCAACTCTGTCCCAACTCAATTGTGCAATTGACCAGAACATCTGCTCTTCGATTGTGTTCCCTCCGGTGCCATACGACCAGGTTGGAAACCATGCACGGCGGCGTCAGCCCATTCTGAAACAAGCTGAACAGGGAGGAGGTGATACGACCGAAAATTGGAGCAAGGTTGTTATTGTTCAACGGTGTATGCCCGCATGCAATTTCGGCAGGCGGCTGGCATTCCACCACAAAAACAATGAAAGGACTCTCCTGCAAAACCTTGATTGATGGCGGCTCGGGGCTGTCAACGTGCATGTCCAGGCAATTCTTCAGAACACCTGTCCTCGGGCGCTCGGTGCGGCCACCGCCCGGGTAAGGCTGCACAGAAACGCAGTGTTCGTCAGGAGCGGGGAGTTGCCACAACGAGCATACAACTTTTGCAACCTCCGGATACAAAGCCATCAACTTGGACAAATCGGGGCAGGTGTCCCGAATGGACCTCCAGGCTGGCCCGAAAACTCTGCAAAACATATCTCCCCACTCGCATCTGTCGCCGTACCCTACATGGGTCAAACCTGCAGCTCGTCTGCTCCGTTCACTTTGGGTTAGACGACCTCCCAAACGGCTCCATCCCAGAATCGGTGCCTCGATGCACGATGCTTGCTCGCCCCAGGACTCGGAGGCGACATCTCTCTCCACGCGTGCCGAAATGCCTCGCGCAACACCTTGTGGTCGATGAGCGCATGTCCTTTCTCACGGAACCATCTCTTCAGGTCCGCGACGTTTTCGTGTTGCACTGCATCCTGCCTTCTGCTGGGCGTTTCTTGAAAGTGGATGCCTTCCGAAGAAAACGCAACTCCCACCTCCTTTCGACATGTGCCAAGACCAGCATCCAAAGATGGCAGAACGCACCAGACCAAATAACCATGCGGAGAGTTGTTCTGAAACACTTGCCCGTCCAGTCAACATGTTTGAATACTTCCACGAGCGCGCCTCGCCCTTCCCCAAATGGTGTTCCAAGCTGATATCGGTGCTACCTTTTTCCTTCAGTATGGCTCCAAGAATCGCGATGCCTGCTCTTGGTGAGGACTTTTCGCCGTCCGGCAACACCACGGCCGCGGGCGCGTCGCCGTTGTCGAGGTTGCCAGGCAGCATGAACTCCAGCGAAAATGTTTTCCATTGGAAACCTGACGCGGCAATGGCCGCTGTCAGCACTTCGGCCACGACGGAATTGGTCGCGCGATGCGACAAACAAGATGATGCGGTCAGTCCAGACTAAGTGGGCCAGCCTAGGTTGGTCGTCACCGCCTGAAAAATCGGAACCAAATCCCTGCCTATCCAATTCGGTGACGGGTGGGCACATGATGTACTCAACCATGAAATTAAACTCATCTGGCGTTTCCACCCCTCCTTGCTTTCCTCCTCTTTCCAATGGGAACTCTGCGGAATCGCTTCCGCCGGGCAAGCTAATGCTACTATGCATGACAGACGCCTCTTCCATGGGGGCCAACTCGACTGCTGGATGAAGACCTCGACGAAGCATTGCCTACCTCATCATAGCGCAGCCCACTGCGTTGAAAGCGGCGGTTACGTCGCCGGCGCCGAATGCCAGCGGTCGCCCCCAACGGGGGGCTACGACCAAAGTTTGGAGTAGAATGGCCACGATGTCCTCGCTGTTGCAGCGCGGCTTGAACCCGCGCGCGCGCTGCGGTACGGGCCGACGAACTACGCGCCGCGGGTTGTAGTCAATGCGCGCAACACTTGAGGCAGCTCTCTAACTTGCCAATCCAGCGGAATGCATCCATCGAAGCTGCCTGCACCTCTTTAGGTCTCCCACAAAACTCTATAAGTTTCCAGTTTGCGTTTTTTTTATATTGTTCGGTTGCGGGCGCGAAAACGATGCCAAAAAAAATCAGGAGCTCGCGCGGCATCTCTTTGTATACTTCTGATGGAACTCCGTCTAGGCAGGCAGCGGCGTTGCTTTTCGAGCTTGCGCGGGCGTTCGCCGCGAAAAAAATTGCCGGCGCAGGCGGGCGGGCGCCGTCTATCTGTCGCGAACGGGAAGCGATCGCAAGTTTAGCCAAACGGCAAGATTGCACAATCTCTGGATTATCAGGGCCACCAGAACGTCGCCGTCCGAACCTCCAAGCCCCCCTCCCCCATTCTTCCCGGTCAGCCGCGGCCTGGCCGTTGATGGCTGCGGCGCGCGGCAGCGGAGCAGGCGCGACACAATCTTTCATCTTGGCGACGGAGTTGCGACGCCTTTGTCTCGCCACCCGGCGCCGAGCACATCGGCGCGCCAGCGCCGCCGCCGCTGCGCGCGCGGCTGCGTTCGCAGGCTGATTGCGGCCAGCGCGATCGGCCCTTGCACGGGCGCCCCCCGCAGTGAAAGAGACGTCGAAAGCGCGCTTTCTGAGGCCTGGTTGCATTGTAGGCAAATCGGAACGTGGGCAGTCGAGTGCGTTATGTTTGAACCGATTCGATTCCGTCACGTCTGTCGGCCCCCAATCCGTCGCTCTGGCCTGATGTCTATCACCCGTCGCTCTGAGGTAAGGAACGCTCACTTGTCTTATCACTGGCCAGTGATTGGAACGATGAAAGAGACGATGATCAATGCTGACGGCTCTGGCTTGTCCTGTAACCGCCCTGCTCACCAGCGAGAAATCGATCTGCGCTCTCGTCGTCATTCTCCCCTTCGCCGATCGCGTCCGCGAGCTCCCCACTGATCACTCCGGGGGCAAGTGACTGGCGACGGTGAACGCGTTCAGCGCGCGGCAACCCAGAGCCTCGACCCGCGCCATGAACGCTCTCCGTCTTGACCGCTGCGTGGCCGGAGCGCGGTCTCAAAACTGCATGCCCCGAAATATGATTCAAACTCTGCGGCAAGCTGACGCTCGCGCGACTTCGAACTCGACCGCCGGGCGTTTCGCCCTTACCTTCCGAATGAATTTCAGAGCGCCCTCGAAAACTATGTCTGTTGGATCTCCTTCTTCGAGGTGGCCCAACACGTGATCTAAAATAAATGTGCTTTGACCCCGGGTAACCCCGCGCCGACAGTCACGGAAACGGGCATCTCGCACAGCGCGCACTCACGGCTAGGGATAACAACGCTGCAGTCACAACCCGACTTAGCAATCGTTGTCTGACTGGAATGCCGGCGATGACCAACATGTCCTCAACTCGGCGCCTCTTGGAATAACCCCACAAATCCCAAGAGCTGCTGACGAACCAAACGGCACATGTGAGCAACAGCATGGTTGCTTGTCTTGCATGTGTTCCAAGATGCTGCCGGATGCTGCCGTAATTATCAGATGTCATGCTCGCCCCCCGTGGAGTCTCACTTCTGGCGGGAGCCGAGTACTCCGCCTCGGCCTGCGCAGCCGTCGCGTTGAAGGCGGAGCGGACGCCCTCTGGGGACAGCGCGATCTCGGCGTTCTCCTCGATGGAGACCACCGTGGCCTCGCCCCCCGAACCTAGGGCGGCCAGCCTGAACTCTGGCCCCCACGAGCACTCAGCCGTTCCCTGCCCGGCCAACTTGCCACGCGAGAAAGCTCTGGCCTTGCCCGCAATCGCGAAACGCGCGGCCTCCTCGGGTTCGCGCTCCACCGCCATGCACGAGTTATTGCCATTGAATTTGAACTCCGGGTCAGCGTCGAGGGCGCCGTTGAAAAGCATCGCAACCTAAACAGCGGCGGGCGGCCGCGCGTTGACCCGCGCCTCGAGCGCTTCGGGGCCGAAGACCTGCAACTCCCGGATGCTCGGCAATGGGGGGGCTGGAAGCACCTCCTTCAGCTTCGCTAAGATGGCTTCCGCCTGGATCATGTTGACACCCCATCGCGCGCCTCTCGGAGAACTCGCAAAATTTCGCTGATCTCGGCGAAAGTGGGCACGGACCTCGCCCCGCCCTGCGAGGGCAAGCCTCCACTCCAGATGGCAAGAACTCCTCCATATTGCCCTAAAGCTTTGATGCGCTCTTCGCGTTTGCCCACCCTCTCATCGAGCTCTTTGACATGCCGCATCGCTGGGCGTAGCCTGCCATCGAAGAGTTTGCCCCTCGCTTCCACTGCCACATCAATCATGTTGGATATGAAGCAGCGTGCCGTAGAAAGGGTGGGGAAGTATCCGAGCGTGACCTTGAATCCTCCCCTGAGCCGGGCTTGAGCCAAAAAGGCCCCGATCCCCCCCCCCCCCCCCCCGCCCCCCCCCCTCCCCCCCCCTGCGCCGCGCACATTCGTCTGACAAGTTGCAACGCATTCACGGATGGGCAGTGCTTCTTTTGCTGCAACATGCAATTATCGCGCTGGCGCCGCGCGCATTCGCCTTCAACGTTCGCCACAGCTTCGCGGATGGAAGAAAGGCGGCGTGCAACATACGGTTCTCGCATTAACGCTGCGCACATTCGCTCCGAAGGTCCTGCTGCGGCCTCACGGGCGCAGGGAGTCCTTTCCAAATGCGCAGCGCCCCGCGAGCGCGGACAAGGGCGATGGGGGCGGCCGCGACGTCAGCTGCCTGCGAAGCTCTGAAGATACAAGCCCGCCGCGGGCGCGGAATCTTACAAACAATACAATGGGCCCGCCGCAGACGCCGATTTTTTGTTAAAAGCAATGTGGGTGGGTCGCGGGTTGGTTCGCGCGCGGGTCGCGGGCGGGTCGCTGGTGGGTCGCGGGTGGGTCGCAGGTGGGTCGCGGGCGGGTCGCGGGCGGATCGCGGGCCTCCTCTTTTGTCGCGTCCTCCTCTCCATATTCCTCTCCTCCCCCTCCTCCACCATATCGTCCCTCCGCGTCCTCCTGCATCCTGCCCCCCTTTGACCCTTCCCCATCGCCCCTCCCCCCGCTCCTCCGCTTCGCGATCCTCCTCCGAATCGCAATCCCAATCGCAATCGCCCCTCCTCTTCTATATATATATATATATATATATATATATTATATATATATATATATAATAATATATATATTTTTTTTTTTTTTTTAAAAAAAAAAAAAAAAAAAAAAAAAAAAAAAAAAAAAAAAAAAAAAAAAAAAAAAAAAAAAAAAAAAAAAAAAAAAAAAAAAAAAAAAAAAAAAAACGCGCCCAGGAAGCGGAGCGACACCGCGGGCAGCGAGCGACACGCGCACGCACGCACACGCATACGCACACGCACGCATGCACGCACGCACGCACGCACGCACGCACGCACGCACACACACACACACACACACACACACACACACACACACACACACACACAACACACACACACGCACGCACACACGCACGCACGCACGCACGCACACGCACGCGCATACGCACGCGCACGCGCACGCGCACGCGCACGCGCACGCGCACGCGCACGCGCACGCGCAAACGCACGCACGCATACGCGCGCACTCCGCGAATCATAATGCTAAGCGGACGCGCTGCTGACAAGTCTGAATACTGAAATACGTCGCGCCCGTGCGAGGGATAGAGGGGGAACACAGGCCCAGGGAAGATAATAATGGCATGCAAGGCAGGCGACGCGTAAGGCATATCGAACTTCATCGCGCTACCGCTGTCGCTGTCTCAGACGACGGGCTGCCAGTCTCGCATCTGGCGGTAGCTGTTCAGCTGCGTTCTTCTGGTTTGGCGTCGGCGATCGCCTTGGCAGTGCAAGAGGTAAGAATGCGAGAGCTGCGCCGCCCAAATGCACCGATTCCGCCGCCGTTCACAGTGCTCGCGCCAGTCCAGCACCCGAATGCAATGACGATGGCCCCACAAACGCCTTCGCTTACAGAGGCAGTTGACCTCCCAAGCCCTTCGGCGGGAACGCGTCGGCGCCCCCCCCCGGCCTGCCGCGGCACCCGCGTCAGCAGACTGACCGCGCGACGCTGACGCGCGCCGACGCGCCCTTCCAGGGCGGCGGCCGGCGGCCGGCGGCTGCGCCGACGGTCGAACAGCCCGCAGAAGGACGCCCCGCAGTCGATGCATCGCACGATCGCCAACGAGTGCGCCACGTGACGGCCGTAGTCTTGTCGACGCACGTCGCGCGCGACCCCGCGCCCTCCAGGACGCGGCCCAAGCTTTGGAAAGACGCAAATGGAACATTCGCCGGGATAATTGATGCGGAACCCCCAATCCGATGAAAGACGGGACTCGCCGCGCATCCAACAAGCAAGTCGCAGAATAGATGGAATTCCTCTCGGAATGCAGATGGTCAGCGCACGCTGCAAGAACGGTGCGCTGGGCCTCGTCTGCACGGAAGCCCCGCCGCAGTCACTCGACTGATATCTCCCCGAGCGTCGCCTCGACTGGAAAACGGCGCAACGCGCCAGCGACCTGGCGCCCACTGAAACCCTCGCGGGATCGCTCGCCAAGCTCCGCGTCGACGTGGCCGACGGGCAACCTCGCGACTGGGAGCAACTGATGGCGAGCCAGTGCTGCCGCGAGCTCCATCGGCATGCTTCGAGACATGCACCATTGGAGCAAGCCCTGAAACAGGAAGGGGTCATAGTAGGCTTTGATCTCGCTCTGGGCCGTTACCGAGTGGCTGCGACCGTCCGAGCCTCGTTCAATAACGACATGCAGAGCGCGCGCATTGCCCAGTTTGCGTGAAAAGCCGTGCTCCAACATAGCAGAAGCGTGGCATGGGAGCGCGCTGGTTGATCCATGCATTGTAACGCTTGGCGATCAAACAATCCAGAGTCTGGAGATCAGCTGGGAAGGTCACGACGGCTCGGAGCTGCGCGGTTTAAAGGATGGAATTGCCCTTCCCCCGCACGTGACCCGCAGCGTTCATTCTCGACGCGACAGCGCTGGAGGTCAAAATTCGCTGAATTAGCGAATCGTGTGATCGGTGCGGAAAAGTCAGAGGGTGCACGCGCACACAACGCCCACCATGATCAAGTTTGCCGGCGTGCTTGGGGCGGGCGAGCGCGGCCGACGCTTCATCATGACCGCCCCCATGGCCATCGATCTGGAGTGCAGTTTCCTTCGCGCGTCGTGGGGGCGCTGGAGGCCGGGGATCCACCAGCGGCGCTGCTCGGGCAAGGTGCTACGAAGCCACCGTGGACACTTGGCCCAAGTGTGTTCCCCTTCGCACGTGCATTGGGCGCGCGCACGCTTCCCCCGCGCGTTAGCGGTTCTCCCGGCACACGGAACATCCCGCGACACAACAACGGGAATTCTCTTCGTACATCGTGTTGTCGCTGCGCTGAATACCACCAAGTGCACGATCGCCAAAAGGAGTGCGCCTCGGGGCCCAGTCCTGCCAGGCTACAAGGAATGCGCAAGTAAGAGGAGAGGTCATGTTCCAAGAGATCGAAAAAGGGTGCTTGAAGATCCGCTTCGCCGCCCTTCAGGGTGCTGGTAACATTATCACAAGGCCACCCATTGCCTGCCCTCTCTTCCCTGTCTGTACTTATCAGGGCTCTCGTGACAGTCGCCAGAAGCCTGGAACCCTTGAACGACACTTTATACTTGAACGCTGCATCGAGCAACTGTCCGACATTCGTGGTAATTGTCCACAGACGGGCGCAGGGAAGGCGTAGGGTCCGCGAGCTGCGCCGAAACAGTCAATGCAAACCCTGGAAGGATCGCCAAGAGAGCCGTCGCGTGGTCGGGGTCCTTGACGGTCTCGTTCGCGCGTTTGTACTGGTACTGGTTGTGCACGTTCCCCGTCACTGGCCTGGAGGCGGAGGGACGGCTGTCCCGAAGGTGAACAGGTAGAAGCGTACGAACTCGATGAATGTGGACGACCAGCGTGGTGGAGAGCTGATTGTATGAACGTGGTCATGAAAGCAATGGAGAACTGGAGCCTGTGCCATCGATGCGAGGCGACAGCGATAACTCATCGCGGCCGTACTATTGGAACCGAAGCTCCGCTACCAACTTTACACATGGATCTACGAGGTGAATATGAAGGTGGACCTTTTCCAATATATTGAACCAGAGCGGGCGAACGCGCGAATAAAGCGGGCACGGGCGAAGTACTGGCCTGAGCCACTACAGCGGCAGGCCCAGGCAGGAAGAGGGTGAAAATGGGCAGGGCAGGTACCACACGAGTAGGGAGAGGAGGAGGCGGAGGAGGAGGAGGAAAAGGAGGAGGAGGAGGAGGAGGAGGAGGAGGAGGAGGAGAAGAAGGACGAGGAGGAGGAGGAGGAAGAGGAGGGACGACGACGACGACGACGACGACCGGCAGTGACGCCCACGACGCTGGCGCCAGCGGCGAGCCGCAGCGAGCGACAGCCCTGGCACCTCACCACTCCACCATTGGGCGAGGCGGGCGACGCGGCACCCACGCGGCCCGCTGCGGCCAGCGGCGCGCTCCTCGGCCCGCGGCGCATGCGTCGATCGCGCTTCGTCAATCCCTGCTGGTGCTCCTGTTGCAGCTGCTGCAGTCCCTGCTCCTGTTCCTGTTCCTGCTTTTCTTCCTCCTCCTCACGAACGAAGTGGAGGGGTGGGGCGATGCCGAACTTCGATTTCGTTGTACCAGCTAACTAACGAATGGTGTGTGTGTGGGGGGGCATGTTTTCTACCCGCAAAACTTTAACGATGCACGACACTTTCACCAAAGGTGGTACCCATGGAAGGACGTCTAACTTTCTGAAAGCCGTGCTGACTAACCAGTGCCCGTGTTGCTTGCAAATGTTCGCTTTTAGACTAAATGCTAAGTCACCTACTCGTGCTGCTTATCGCGCTGGGAGTTGTAACGTGAGCACTGCTCATGCTGTTCACCATACTACTGCCGTGCCGCTCGTCTGCCCGTTCAGTAAAACATCTCACTGGTCCAATCTTGACCAGCTTCAGTCTCACATCCGAGGCGAGTATTTACCTCCGTGTCCTGCCCGCCGCGATGCCCGAGTCGGCCGGCCCCTCGTGGGCGCTCAAGCGCTCCGCCGCCGACCCCGCAGATGGCGCTCAGCCTCCCAAGTCAGCAAAAGCCCGAGGAGAAGGGAAGCGGCGGCAAGGGAGCCCCCAAACCCCGCCGTGCTCGCAAAGATCAGAACAAGGCCCTCAGAACCTTGAAAGAAGCAGGATTCAACCGAAAGCGAGATGCCACACTGCCGGTGCGAATCAAACAAACACTGGTATATGCAGCCAAGCAGTTCGAGATCTCTGGGCCGTGGGCCTGGAGACGTACTTCGTGGAGTCCAACCTGCCCGGGGCCGAGGAACCGCCAGGAGCAGGCCGCCAGTACTCGCCCCAAGTCAAACAAGAGGGTCGCGGCCACCAGCTGGGTCCTCCTCACCTGCATATCTTCAATGGGTTCGTGAGCGTGAAGCGTGGGGACGCCATCGGGCAGCTCACCTTTCAGGATATCAACAAATGGTACATCGACTTCTACGCCAAGGCCGAGATGGAAATGTTGTGGACTCAAGTACGCTTGTTTCGCCTCACCAAGTGCTACGACCAGAACAAGATGAAGCTGCACATGCATATAGCGGACATAGACATAACGGCACTGACCTCCGACTCAGAAGGGCAATACCTGCCTTCGGGCACGCGTTTGAAACACCTGCTAGGCCTCGCCCTCATTCAGCTGGGCGCCTAGCGCTCGATCGGAGCCGCCCCCCCTGGGGCCATGTAGGAGATGATTCAGAGCTCCCTCGGCGATGACTCGTTGATGTTGTGCAAAATCCTGCCTTCGGGCAGATTCGCGTCGCCTTTGTTTTGCTGAGTTGCAGCTCGAATGCGTCGGCCTATTGTGTGTACGAGTCTGGTGGCTGTTTAGTTCCGCTTGTCAGCCGACTTCAAAGCTGTACTTCGTGCTTGAAGTTGTGAGTGTGCTTGACTTGATTGGCCTTGTCGAATTGATTGGCGGTTCGGACTCTGAGTTCTCTGTTTACGTCACAGCTGTTAGCTAATCACTATGGGTACCACCTGTACTCGTACCTGGTGCTGTGGATCATGTTCGCCTCTGCCTCGCTGCACCTTGCCTACTTCACAGCTGTCAATGACATAGGGTACGTGCTGAACTCGTACGTGGTGCTGTGGCTCGTTTTCGTCACCGCCTGGTTTTTCCAGGCTTGAGGCCGCCTGCTGCCGCCACTGATGTTCCTCTTCCTTCCCGCCTCCTCCTCCTCCTCCTTCTCCACCTCCTCCTCCTCCTCCTCCTCCTCCTTCTCCACCTCCTCCTCCTCCTCCTCCTCCTCCTCCTCCTCTTCCTGTAGCAGTTGAATTGTAATGCACGTGTGCTGCTGGGCGCCCTTCGACCTAGGCCTTTCCCAGTGCTTTCCTGGATTTTCCCAGCATCGGCTGGTCGCTGAGTTGAAAAATCGCCAATCGCTGCGTGATCTCGTTTTCCATTGGTGGCGATGTGGGCCACACCTTCTGGTCCTTCCGAGGGGCAGGCGGTCTGGGCCGAAGGCCACTGGGAAGGGTTGGAAAATAACAAGAGCAGCAAAATGTCTGGCACGCCGTCCACCCCTGTGGCAAGCACGGGGGGCGGCGGATCCAAGACGCCTACGGCGAATCACCGCCGACCCCAGCCTTTTTTGAGAAGCGCCTATGTGGCCAAACGTTGGGCCCCAGCTTGGCCAAGCTATCTGATTATGTATTCCCCCAGCCGCTCCGGAAACTCTTCGGGGAACTTGGGGGAGGCTGGGGGAGAGGACCAGGAGAGGGAGGAGGAAGAGGAGGAGGAGGAGGCCTCTCGGGAGCCTCTTGGGGCACTCTTGTGGGGCCTCCTGGGGGCTTCCCGGGGGCCTCTTGGAAGCCTCGTGGGGGCCTCCTTAGGCCCCTTGGGGGCCTTGGGGCGTCTTAGGGATCCTCTCCTTGGCCGTCTTAAGGCGTTGATGGCCCGTCTGACGAGTCTGACGCCGTCGGAAGTCGTCTTGGGGGCCTCTCTGAACCGATGTGGGGTCCTCTTGAGGCGCTTCAGGGCTGTCTTGGAGGCCATCTTGGGCGTCTGAGAGGCCTCCTGGGGAGGAGGAAGAGGAGGAGGAGGAGGAGGAGGAGGAGGAGGAGGAGGAGGAGGAGGAGGAGGAGGAGGAGGTTGAGGAGGAGGAGGAGGAAGAGGAAAAACAGGACTGGGAAAAGCAGACGAAGAGGGAGTAGGAAGAGAAACAGGGAGGAGGACCAGGAGGAGGAGGCAGGGGGCAGGAGCGAGGAGACACAGTCGGACAACGAGAGACAAAGTCGGAGCACCCCCCAGACTCATGAGTATGGGGGCGCCCCAGAGTCTGAACAGCACCTTTTCTATATGATATGTGTCATAGTGCTGTTCGTATGGTGGCGCTTCTTCGGGGCGCGCCCCATCGCGGCCATTTTATCAAGCGGCGCTTCATCGGGGAGTGCGTCGTTGAATGCCTACAGTCGGACTCGATTGGACAGGACGCGCGAGAGGACAAAAGACCCTTCCGAGGGTCACATTTCCATCGGAATGCAGGAGGCACGTGTCGCGTGGCAAAGGACAAAAGGGTACCCTTGAGCTGGCAGGGTCGACCTACTAATCCGGGCCGACTGTAATCGTGGAGTGCTTCGTCGTGGCGCGCCTCTTTGCGGCCTGCTTCGCCGTGAGAGCTTCGTGGCAGTGCTTCGCCGTCGGGTACCTCGCGCCCTCGCTAGCGGTTCGCGCAGCCCACGGCTCTTCCTCCTCGCGGGGGCGCTCGCGGTGCTCGCGAGGATCTTGCTCGCGAGGCTCGGGCGAGTTTTCATGCCGGTGCTCGGGCCAATGCTACTTTGGGAATGCTCCACTCGCGGAAGTACTCGTCGCGCGTTCACGGACGCGTTCTCGGGGGCCTGCCACGCGGCGGCGCGTTGCACGGACGCGGTCTTTCGCGATCGAGGCGCGCTTCGCCACCGAGGCGTGCTGCGCGGAAGCGCGCTTCGAGCAGACGCGCTTCCTGATCCGAGCGCGCCTCGAAGAGGCGCGCCTCAATATCGAAGTGCGCTTTGCGGGGGCGCGCGCCGCAATGGGGGAGGGCTGCGTCGCGGAGGCGAACTTCCGCAGGGCGGCGCGCTTCATCGAGGCGCGCTTCGCGGAGGTTTTCTTCGCGGAAGCAAACTGCGTCGCGAGACGTGCATCATCGGGGGCCCCACTTCGCGGAGGCCTTCTTCATCGTGGAGACGTGCTTCGCGGAAGCGGACTTCATCGGCTATTCTATTCTATTCTATTCTATCGCCTGGCGCGTGTACCTGCTGCAAGGCATGGGCACGCTACACATCGCACAAAGCTACACCACAGGGAATTTGCCGCCAGATTTAGGTGGGAGGCCACGCTTCAGTCGAGACAAAACCTCCTTCCCAGCCTTCGTGGGAGGTTCACAACAATGCTTGAGGTCTCGCGGGACCTCTAAACAGTGCCCCCCACAAACCTCGCAGTAGAGCACACCTCTGAGACAGGCAAGGTGGTGAGAGGGATGAACAAATTCAGCACAAGGATGATCGAGAGCAGACTCCTCACCCCCACCCCCCCCGACGGCGGGCCTAGATCATCGGGCACACGGGCCGGGGCGCCTGCGGACGCAGCGCCTCGTGGGGAAGGGGAACGAGGTCGGAGCCGTTGAACACGTTGCTGCACAACAGCACGGGGCTTGCACTTGTTCGGCCAGAAATCTGAGAGTTGGCCTACACGCCGAAAAGACTGATGGCAGAGAGAGCACTTAAGGATAGACGGCCGAACAATCACAACGTGACCTTGAGTGCTCAATCTATTACATCGTTCCTGTAAAGCAGAGATATTCCTGGTACGTTCACGGGGGGCCCTTTCAGGATGCTCACGCTGGGATTGAAACAAACATTCACGCTGAACCGATAACAGTCGGCTAAGTACAAGGCAAGCTTTCTCATCAGCAAGCAGGGTCCCCCTCGCAAGTTCCTCCAGAATCTCACCAGCATCAGCGGCCTTACCCGCGAAAAAATCAGCAGACTTATTTAAATAGAATTCAATATCATGTAAAATCATATTCTGACGTTGGGCCTGGGCGGGGTGCCCTTTAGTCCATCGAACGTCAATCGATCCGCCTCGGGCCGACATCACATCATGAAATTGCGCCCACAAATCAAGCGAAGCTGATTTCCGTTTGGCCTTGAGGGTCTTGCGGGAGCCCTTGACGACAGACATGTTATCGCAGTACACACGAATAGCACCAGTAGAACGCTTAGCAAGCTCGATCAGGGCAAACAGCTCAGCTCGGCCAGCGCTCTGCACCTTAGTTGGCAGAGTACCGCTGGCCACTCTGTCAAAAAGTCCACGGGCACCTAAATGGACAACAGCCCAGCCACACCGCCGCAGGCGCCAGTCTTTATGATTTTTCCCAGCACCGTCGATTCCCCAGACACCCCCATGCATTTTGGCCCCAGTCAAGAGGCTGCCCCATTCCCAA